CGACGCGGAGCCGTGCACTACACTGCACTGCACTGCAACTGCATTGCAATGCACTGCATGTATGGCCCTATGAATCACTAAATTGAGAGTGCACCTGCGCCTGACCGTGGGCACTCTGGCATGTCGCGGCGTGGTCGGGCGGCAGGCGCCCCGAGCGGGCAGGCCTCCAGGCGCTACGCCACGCGAGGACAGGAGCAGCGAGCCCAACAAGATGGATTTATGCGACGTTGGTGAAGAGACTAGGTAAGATTTGGAGCTCATGTGATTTGGTCTATAGGAAAATTAGTATCAATCTGTAGGAAGAATGAGTTTCTGTCTGTAGAGCGATTTAGCTAGCTGTGTATTCAGTGATGTGATTTGTAGGCCAAATCACATGGATATGAGCCTTGTTGTTAGAGTTCTATCATTTTTCAGTTTGCCTGATGGGGGACAAAAATCATGGCAACAGGGTAGAACCTTGCCTACTCAAGTTGTTGACATGCATAGCTTTGACCTACTGCAACTAGTTAATTTCACAGCTGAGCACTACATGTGGGGTTCAAAACAGTACATAAGTTTGTGGCATGCATTAGATGAAATTTCTAGAGGACCTTCTATTGAGATTAAAACTGATGAGCAGTTGCTTGAGTGGTTCGAACTCAATAAAGAGAAGGGAAAGGTGTACATTAATGCCCAAATTAATGATTTTGAGGGTCCATTGCAATTTTCACCAACAAAACGTAGGTGCCACCCTTCTGTAAGGAATAGAGTGCCCACCAATGAGACAAACACTGCTGAGAGAGCCACATCCACAAACAAAAAAGAAAGAGCCACCAAAAAAGAGAGAGCCACCAAATCCAAAGCAAAAGACGCACATCATGATGAGTAGGAGTTGATGAGGGCATATATTCTGACACTGATTCACTTGTGGTAGCAAGTGATAGCAGCTATGATAGTGACTTGGCTGCATCCTCTGATTCTTGTGATGATTGCTCTGACCCTGAGTTTAATCCCGATGAACCAGTTGTTGATGATGATGATGAATATGACCCTCCACCCTTCTCATATGATGTTGATAATCCATGTATTGATGTAAATGTGGTGTTTCCAGACGTGGATCAGTGCAAGTCTACAGTTACACATCATGCCATCTTGAATGATCATGCTTTTGATATTGTGAAAAAGGACAAGAGCAGATTTAGAGCCATATGCAAGAGAGCAAATCAGGGTTGCAACTGGAAGTTTTTTGCATCTACAAGTAAAAAGTACATTGGCTGCAAGGTGATTTCAAATTTTTTGTAACATTCAGCATCAAGTAAGAAGTATTAGTGCGCAACAATTTACTAATAAAATGGTTCTTTTCTTGCTGTTTTTTGGCAGGTTAAGACTAGTGGTCCAAAGCATACTTGTGGTTCATTCAACAATTGTGGTGAAACAATGGCCTCCAATAAATGGATAGCTGAAAGAGTTGTCGATTTACTACGGGAAGACCCTAAAATGAGACCGAAGGAGTTGCAAGATAGGCTCAAGAAGAAGTACTCAATAGAAGTTCCATACGATAGAGTTTTCAGAGGCAAGCTAAGGGCAATGGACATCATATATGGGAAGTGGAATGATAGCTATAACTTGCTACCAACTTATCAAGCTGAGCTTCTAAAAGTAGTACCTGGCAGCATCGTTGACATAGACACTGAAGAAGATGACAATGGTGATTTGTGTTTCAGTAGGTTCTTTGTTGCTCTTAAACCATGCATTGATGGGTTCTTGCAAGGATGTAGGCCTTACATTGCCATGGATGCCACACACTTGACTAGAAGGGGAAGGGGTCAGTTAGCAGTAGCTGTTGCAGTGGATGGTCAAAACTGCTTATTTCCACTGGCTTATGGTTTGATTGAGACCGAGTCTAAAGAAAGTTGGACTTGGTTTGTGACAAACTTAAAGAAGGCTATTGGTACTCCTACAGGCTTGGTCATTAGTACAGATGCGGGCAAAGGACTTGAGGTGGCTGTACATGATGTGTACCTAGGAGTGGAACATAGAGAATGCATGAGGCACTTGTGGAAGAACATGAAGAAGAATGGGTACAGTGGTGAGCTTTATGGTAAGAATATGTGGGCAGCTGCCAAGAGCTTCACAAATGACAAGTTCAAGTACTTCATGCGAAACATAGAGGAGAAGGATCCTAGTGCACTATCCTAGTTGGATGACAACCATCCATTTGTGTGGAGTAGAAGCAAATTTGGGGAAGAATGCAAGGTAGATCACATCAACAACAACCTCTCTGAAAGATTTAACAGTTGGGTGTCCAAAACCAAGGATTTTCAAATTGTGGATATGCATGACAAGATAAGACAAATGATCATTGAGAAATTTGTTTTGAGAGCCAAGCTTGCTAGTAAAATGTCAGGCACAATCATTCCAGCTGTGACCAATTCTCTAAATGTTAAAGCCAAGAGTATCAAGGGCCATGAGGTATTGATATGTGGGGCTGGAACAGCTGAAGTAACTGTGAATAGATTCATGTACGCAATCAACTTAGGACAAAAAACATGTAGTTGTAGGGCTTAGCAAGTAACTGGACAGCCCTGCACCCATGCTTTAGCTTTCATTTCTAAGATTAGTAGAGAGGTACGAATGGATGACTTTGTGCATGAATACTTCTCTGTTGATCGGTTAAAAAAGGCATATGCATGTTCTTTCAATCCAATGACATCCAAGGATAATTGGCCACATGTTGATTTGGGCTATAAAATCAAGAAGCCTAAACTGAGAAGGAAACCAGGCAGACCAAGAAATTTTAGGATCAAGTCCTATGATGAGGCCGCCACCAGTAAGAAAAGGAGACCATGTTCTGAATGTAATGAACTAGGCCATATAGCGAAGCATTGCCAAGGATGTCCAACTGCTGTCAAAAGAGGAGTCGCTCATCTTCTCAAAATGAACCATCTTCACAAAAAATGTGAGTCATGCTCATTTGTATTTCAAAAGAGGATTTCGTTAGTGTCTGTTGCCTGCCATATTTAATGTCTGTTGCCTACCATATTTAAATGACTACTCAAAAGATCATTACAACTGTAGATTTTTATTCAATTGCAAGTATTTCTTGAATTTAAATCAATAATAGAAGTAGCAACTGAAACCAGCCCAGCTTAAATGTTGATGGTTAGTCGGCCTTGTTTGCATAGCAGTAGAGCCAGCAGTCTCTTCATCCATGTGAATGGGCACAGCTGTACTCTTGTTATAGTTGATTTGTTGTCTAGTGGCGTTTGCAAACTGATCGAGCAGTGTGGATCGACCTTGGATGAATCCAGTCTGGTCTAGATCAACAAGCTTCTTGATTTGTGACTGCAACCTTGTAGTCAGGACCTTGGTCAGTATCTTGACGCAGCAATTTTGAAGGCAGATGGGTCTGAAAGCGGAGACTGTTGTTGCTCCAAGCTTTTTTGGCAACAATACCATGTATGATCTGTTCACCCTTTCTAGTTGCACTTCTTCTCTGTGAAAGGCATCCATGAAGCACATGATGCTATTTTTGACCGTTTCCCAGGCTGCAAGATAGAAGCTTGGGCCAAACCCGTCTGGCCCTGGTCCTCAGTTGCTGCTGGACTGCCTTGATACAAGGCCTGACAGTCAAATTGCCACACCGAGCTACCTTCAGTGCCTACGATTGTTTTGAAGTGATCATTCAGTGCTCTAAATGTTATTACAAAGTTTCATAGTAGAGAATTTCTATTAGAAAGTTATTATTGTTTGAAAAAAAATGCTTATTTAGTCAACTTGTTTACTGAACCATTTTTCTCCATTCATGTGAAGTGCAACTGCAAGTGCAAGGGGAAGGGGAAGGAGAAGGGGAAGAGGAAGAGGAAGAGGAAGTGCAAGTGTAGGACCTGGAACACAAGGAGCAGAAGGGGCTGGAACAGAAGGAAGAGGAAGAGGAAGAGGAGGGAGGTTGGGTGCATTGTTGGGAATAGATGCATGAATGTGATGTATGACACTGAATATGTAATATCTCACTATTAGCTACCGTTTTTGTTGGACTTGTATGTTGGATGAGGCTTTGTACTGTATGGATACTTTTGCTACACTTTCATTTGATGTGATATTATCTATCTATCTTTGCATGCTGTATGGAATCATAGGTAACAAGTTGTGTAATTATGCTGTCAATTTTTTTAGAAAACAGGGGTAAAATAACAATGTATTCAGATAAATAGGGGCAGTTTCGCATGGGCAAACTTGTCCTTATTGAGCCCATTTAACACCGTTACTTGTTGTTACAAGAGTAGGGGTAAACTTAAGCTTCGTTTTCAAAAAACAGGGGTAAAATCACAACGATGACAGAAACAGAGGTAAAATCACAATTGGACGTCAAAATAGGAGCAAGAATGCAATAGCCCCTAAACTTTTTTAGAGATACAAATGTTGCTAATATTTTCTACGAACCTAGTTAAACTTTAGAAAATTTGACTAGTATGAATACTGTAGCAATACTTATTTTGAGACAGGAGGGAATACCTATCATGTACGCAAACGACAAATTCTCTCGACCGTTATACACAAAGTACCGAAATCGCTAACCGCATATATGTAGGGAAAGAGGCGAATTACTACTACTACTGCATATATATAGACCGATAAGAGTATGGTAGCCATATATTAATTAGAGATTTGATGCAGCTAGCCGCATCCACATGGTTGTTTGTCCAAGCCTTTCTTCTGGACCACACAATGTAAATCAGCAGCTGCCTAAACCATGGATGTCCCTAACTATGTCTATAGCTATAGGTTCAGATTGGAGTACTAATCACAGGGGCATCCTGGTAAAATCACATCTATCTGCTCACAAGCTAGTGCTCCTCCCTCTCTCTCAGAGGAGAAGATACATATAGACACCCATACTACACGCAGCAATATTACAATGCAAACAAACACACCACACCTACCTAGCAAAGGAGTAGGAGGCCAGCAAGCAAGAAATACCGCGTGGCCACTTCGTCCGCCGGCCCCTCTTGGTTTCTTCCATGGAGGAGCAAGGTGACAGACAGATCCAGCTTCAGCTGCTCCTCCTCCCTGCGCCTGCAGCTCAAGTCGTCCTCCGTGACGTGCCGGCGGTACCAGCCAGCAGCGCGGTGGAGCACCCGCAGCTGGACCTCGATCTGTCCATGAGCATCGGGCCGAGGCCTCCGGTGGCCCCAACCCCAACACCGGCGCCGCCGCCGCCGCGTGCGCGGTCGCCACCCACGAACGAGGTCAGGAGGGCGCCGGGGATGATGGCGGTGCTGGCGACGGCCAGCGCGAGGCTGCATCAGAAGCAGCATGCGGCCGCCGACGTGCGCGCCGTGAAGCAGCAGGCCGCGGACCAGGCCCGCATGGCGTCCGCCGAGCGCGCCTACGCGGAGCGTGTCCGGGAGCTGGCGCGGCGGGAGCTGGAGCTCGCGGAGCGGGAGTTCGCGCGCGCCAGGGCCATCTGGGAGCGCGCCCGCGAGGAGGTGGAGCGGGTGGAGCGCATGAAGCAGATCGCGGCGAGGCGGCTCGTCGGCTCGGCCGCGTCGTCCGCGGCGGCGCTGGAGATCACCTGCCACGCCTGCATGCAGCGCTTCCATCCCTAGTCCTGCTACTCTCTCCAGATCATATCTAGTGTACTAGCTCCTACTAAACTTCTTGATGAAGTGTAAGGGTGCCTGCCTCTCTCCCGTTTGACCGTGTTGTGATCGGTGGATAGATATGGCTAGTTGCCGCCACCATTGCTGTAACTCTCTTTCTTCAAAGCTTTCTGCCCCCTGCTCTTGTAAATTAATGCCATGCCATGTTCAGCTTGAGATCCAGGATCATCGACCGTCTGGTTCCTATGTCTGATGCACGCTTTCTTATCATCAATGCAACGAGCAAATTCTTCCTTCTCTCTGATTACCTTCTTAGTTTACAGAAGCTTCATGAAAGAACAAATAAAGGCCGAACAGCTGCGTTATGGAACAAACGCTGAGTTATGGCGGTTTACACCCCCATGCCATGATGGGCTTAATTAGGTTAATCTGTGGAGTTCCTTTTTTGTTTATATATAAATAAATATATTTTGTAAAACATAGATATAGATCTGGTTTTCTGTTCGTGTGTTACAACGTGAGTGGAAGTGGAACACCTGTGCTGAGGCGCGCAGTCTGACTGAAATTACTGTTCGGCCCATGATGCTTTGGTTGAGTTTAGAGCGAGCAAGGAAACCAGCCAAGTCAGACTGCATTGCATGCATGTATTCAAACTGCTAATTCCAGTCGACCGTGAGGTACCAGATGCTGCATGGTTGCTATGTCACTCGAGATCTTAAACTGTACATTGGACACTGTAATGTCAAAGAAAAATGAAAAGAAAAACTGTACCTGGCCTTAAGATCAAAGAAGATGGTGTTTACACATGCATGCGAGCGTAATAACCACTAGGGATGAAAACGGATCGGATACGAACGGATATTACTCATATTATATTTGTTTTCATATTTCTGTTCGGATTCGGATTCGGACACGGATAGCGTTCGGATACATATACGAATACGGATTGACTCGGTTACGGATACGAATAATGAGTATCGAATACGGTATGAATCGGATTCGGAGAAGGTCGGATACAAATATCTATTCGGATATTGAGTAAAAGCAGCATATATATATATATATATATATATATATATATATATATATATATATATATATATATATGCGCAAACCATTACACCACTCTATGAGTCCATAATCCATCTAGATTAAGCCGAAAGACTAAAGAGTAAAGCAACAAATAAAATAAAGATACAGATACATCATACATCAAACATCATACAAGCACCAATCTTCGCGGCATGAGTAGAAATAGCCAAGCTCATTGCTTCATGGGTCTCATGGAGTCATGGTCATGGATTCAAGATCTACAATCCTTATATAGGCCATTTTTTTCATTTGAGAAAGTTTAAACAAAATGTAGTTCAAATTTCACAAGTGTGTGACATAGTTTTAGAAAGTCTGTATGAGATTTAAGAATTTGTGACTAGTGTTTGATAAAACTTTCTCAAATGGGAAAATGAGCTATGTAACAATTGTAGATCTTGCTGAGATGATCAAACTTGGTATTCAGAGTTTTTTCATCTGAGGTCATTTAGTATCTCATTTGAGCAAGTTTGACCAAGTCAAATTTGGTCAAATGAAAAAATAACACTTTGACTCTGTATTATGAACTCTAAATGACTTCAATTTGAAAAGTTTTGAATACCAAGTTTGTTCAACTCATCAAGATCTACAATTCTTGTTTTGGTCAACTTTCCATTTGAGATAGTTTGGACGGTTCAAATTTGTGATTTTTAAATTTCGATGCTTACAAACTAGTTTTCGGAACCCTAGATTGTCTCAAATTGAAAAGTTTTGAATACCAAGTTTGTTCAGCTCATCAAGATCTACAATCCTTATATAGGCTATTTTTTCATTTGAGAAAGTTTGAATAAAATGTAGTTCAAATTTCACAAGTGTGTGACATAGTTTCAGAAAGTCTATATGAGATTCAAGAATTTGTGACTAGTGTTTGATAAAGTTTCTCAAATGGGAAAATGAGCTATGTAACAATTGTATATCTTGCTGAGATGATCAAACTTGGTATTCAGATTTTTTTCATCTGAGGTCATTTAGTGTCTCATTTGAGTAAGTTTGACCAAGTCAAATTTGGTCAAATGAAAAAACAACACTTTGACTCTAGTATTATGAACTCTAAATAACTTCAAATTGAAAAGTTTTGAATACCAAGTTTGTTCAACTCATCAAGATCTACAATTGTTGTTTTGGTCAACTTTCCATTTGAGATAGTTTGGACGGTTCAAATTTGTGATTTTTAAATTTCAACGTTTACAAACTAGTTTTCGGAACCCTAGATTGTCTCAAATTGAAAAGTTTTGAATACCAAATTTGTTCATCTCATCAAGATCTACAATCCTTATATAGGCAATTTTTTCATTTGAGAAAGTTTGAACAAAATATAGTTCAAATTTAACAAGTGTATGACATAGTTTCAGAAAGTCTATATGAGATTCAAGAATTTGTGACTAGTGTTTGATAAAACTTTCTCAAATGGGAAAATGAGCTATGTAACAATTGTAGATCTTGCTGAGATGATCAAACTTGGTATTCAGAGTTTTTTCATCTGAGGTCATTTAGTATCTCATTTGAGCAAGTTTGACCAAGTCAAATTTGGTCAAATGAAAAAACAACATTTTGACTCTAGTATTATGAACTCTAAATGACTTCAAATTGAAAAGTTTTGAATACCAAGTTTGTTCAACTCATTAAGATCTACAATTGTTGTTTTGGTCAACTTTCCATTTGAGATAGTTTGGATGGTTCAAATTTGTGATTTTTAAATTTTGACGCCTATAAATTAGTTTTCCATTTGAGAAAGTTTGGACGGTTTAAATTTTGAAGCACTAAATGATTTCAAACGAAAAAGTTGTAAACAACAAAGTTTCATAACTTTTTGAGATCTACAATTTTTATTTTGATCATTTCTCCATCCAAGGTCGTTTGAATAATATCCGGATAATATCCGTTTTTAAATATCCGGATATATCCGATACTTATCTGGATTATCCGATATCTGCCGGATATCGATGATATTACATTCGTATTTGATATCCGCCTAAGATATCCGTTTTAGTATCCGTATCCGAAAAAAATTACGGATATCCGAGTAACTATCCAGATAAGTGTTCATATTTGTTCGGTCGACGGACGGTCGAATAAATATCCGTACCGTTTTCATCCATAATAACCACACATGTCATGTCCACAGAGAGAGCTGAATGTAGCACAACAGTTTTCTTTCCATGCTTTCAGTTGAATGGATGTTCAGAACTGAATAATGTAGCACAGCAGTTCCTACATATATACCTATCCCATGGTTACACATGCATTACACCGGTGGTTGACATAACTACTGCTACTGCTAGCATATTGTACGTACATGGAGGAAGTAAAATCTTTGTGATCTCAGCTCCTCTGTACCCTGTTGGCTGTATATCAAGATATCCGTGCACAGCAGGAGAGAGACAATACAACGGTGCACAATAGAAGAATATGTGCCCTTGTGATTGCAAAAAAGAAAAAGAAAAAGAAAACTGCATTCTTCGTGCATAAACAGATACTGATATGGTGACAGAAGATGTAGAGACGATGGATGAGGTCACCGTACGTATCCGAACGCATGCATGCTGAATAATTCTGTTCTGGTGAATACACAGGTGCATGCAGGCATGGATATCGATGCAGCAGCCAGCAGATATATATATATATATATATATATATGTCCTGCTATACGTAACGTACGCTGCGTGCATCGCGGGCGTCAAGCAGGCGGTAGCAAATGATTGAGGCGGACGAATCAAGCAGGCGGTAGCAAATGATCAGGCAGGGTAGATCGATCAGGAACAGAGGTGGTTGCTGGCCGGCCCTCCGGCTGCCTTGGCTTTGTTCATGTGCCGGCCGGCCGGCCGGCCTTTTCATCAGACCTGACCAAACGTACAGGGACGAAAAGAACAATCACGCACAGTACTTGTACTATCTGCTATCAGGGGTCAGGGGGCTCTCAGCACTGGGAACCCATCTGCATCCAGAGTACTCTTCATTCGTCTATATGCTCACTCATCACTCACCTTTCATTCACCTGCTACCCAGGTCAGCTCTTGCAGGTACTACATACTATGAGTCTATGATTATAGCCCCTCAAGCATACCTGCAAGCTAAGCAGCATCAGCTTTATATAGGCCTTTTTAATTTTTCCTCCTAAAGTTTAGTCCATGTCACATCGGATATTTGACACATGCATAAAGTATTAAATATAGGCTAAAAAATTAACTAATTGCACAGATTGCGACTACTTTACGAGACGATTTTTTAAACCTAATTATCCCATGATTTGATAATGTGGTGCTACAGTAAATATATGATAATGACGGATTAGTTAGGATTAGTAAATTTGTCTCGTGGATAACTGAGGACTTGTGTAATTTGTTTTATTATTACTATCCGAACACTCCTACATGACACCCCTAAACTTTAGCACCTGAAGTATTTTCCAGGTGTCTTGGAAATGAAAAAGAAAAAAAGAGCAAGATTTAGAGGGACATGCAAGCTAGAACTAATAATAGGTATCTATCTATCTATATATCTGACTGACCTCCCAAGTCGCTGGCCGGCGGTCGTCATCGCTGCGTCATCACCTGGGACCAATGCCCTCCACAGGCATGCATTACCACAAAAGGAGCTCCAGACAAAAGTTACCCTCACTTCTCATTGCGCTTAGTTCCCTACAGCAAGCCTGCATGCTGCTGGCTCCCCAAGAACGCAATGCAAGTCAATTGCCTTTCATCAGAAGGTACCACACTGCGTCAAAAAGAACATCATGATGCTACTGCGAAGATCACATCCATATATGTTGCACATTCGCTCTTTTTTGCCTTTTGAAAACCACCCCCCGTCTTTCTCCCTGCAAAGATTGGACGAATAACGCCTGCTCCCCAGCATTTACAGCATTATTGACCCTATCATTGACGCAAAAGCCAGCTTCCTTGCCGAGGTAAATTAGA